CGCGGCCGGACGCCTGCAGCCCCCGCCCCCTTGCACCTGAAGGCCCTCGGGGTCGGGCGGCGCGCAAACCGCCCGGCCAACCTCCTCCGGCACCTGTATTTTCTCCCGCTCAGTCTCCAGGCTAGCGACCGACCGCCCTCAGAGATTCTAGGGGCTCCTCCGTCGGCCTTTTACTTTCTGCTCACTTCCCTCCTGGGCACCGAAAGCAGCGAGCCCAGACTAGCCAGCTGTACGCGACCTTCCGTCCGCCCGCAGCCTGTTCCTGAAGCGCCCTTCTCTCCCGAGGAGCGGCTCCCGACACACACCGGGAAACTGAGGCACGCTGGGAAACCTGACACCCAGTGGTCCCCAGCATTACACTGACCTGAGTTGGGGCGCACCCTCAGAGCAAAGGAGGTTTTCAGGGAGCTATGATGTTGGCCCAAATATCTCCCAGGCCTGGCAGGGGCTTCCTGTCCCACTCAGGTTCCAGGCTGTGTATTGAGCCAGGCAGGATTCTAGCATTCCCCTTCCCCAGAAGGACTGGCCTTCCACGCACTCTTGCAGGGACAATCTTGCAGCCATTCCTTCTCTCCCTTCTGGAGGCGAGCAGCCAGGCAGCAATGAAGGAGCACAGAATTCTGTGCCTTAAAAGTGCTCTGCAGGTAGCCTAAAGATTTCCAGGGTGTTTCCATCTCTAAAGAGAAGACATTGTGGGGCACCTGGGTGGCTCAGTAGGTTAAGGGTCCGACTTGGGCTCAGGCCATGATCTCGAGGTTGGTGGGTTTGAGCCCCACATGTGGGTCTGTGCTGACAGGTCAGAGCCTTGAGCCTGCTTTGGATTCTGTGTGTCCCTCTCTCTCTGCCCCTCACGCTCCCCAACTGTCACCCTCTCTCTCAAAAATAAATTTAAAAAAACATTAAAAAATTTTTTTAAAGAAGATATTGTGAGATCTTTGGATACAAGCCCACAGGTGAATTGTACGGGGAGGGGGGGGGAGAGAGGAAGCATTTACTTGGAAAATAAAGTTGTTAATAGAGCATAAAATAGAAATGGGTCTGTGCAAATTGGCTTCAGCCCCAACACCGCACTGCCCCCAAGTCCTAGGGGTGGCCAGACCCTACGCGCAAGGTCAGCAAAAGAAGGCAACAATTCCACCAAACAGGTCAGGACCCAGAATGAAGGGCCTGGCTGTTCCCAGCCCTAGAATCAAGCAAAAAGAGGTTAAGCAGAGTTGTGAAACCCTGTTGATGCCAGGCAGTCAGAGGCTGAGGTCTGGTGGCAGAAATGAAGACAACAAGGAGAGGACAGGAGGTAAAGGGGTGGAGAGAAAAGAGGAAAGGAGGCGGAAGGAGCCAATGCTAGATTAGGTGCGGTACAGAGAGGTGAAACACCAACGGGAGAGCATAGCAAACAGCAGCTAACTTAACCCCCGATTATACCACTCACTATGCCTAGATGTCCATTCATTTCATTCTCACAAGTCAGTGAGATGGGCATTATCCATCTGGGATCCATTCTGGTTTACCTGGGATAATCCCAGGAGACACCTGATGTTTCAGAATGTATGACAGACCAGTTCTGGGGTCAGCAGCACCCAGTAGACATTAGGCCTGAATGAAAGCAGGTTGGGTAGAAAACAAACTAGAATACTGAGCTGATATCCCCAGGAAGACAGCTACTTGTTCCTAAGGGACTAAAGAGAAGGATAGAGTTGAAATACAAATGAGCCAAGGAAGCCGCTGAGTTACTCGATGCTATACGGGAGAAGAACATGGACATCACTTGAGGAATGGAGGGGACCATCTCCATGGCTCCAGAGGTGCCACCCAGTCTTCAGTGGTGTGGAACATCTCTTTTGATTTCAGACAGTAAGAAGACAAGTAATAACTCTCATCACTGCTCGTTTCACATGCCTCTCAGGAGACATGGTGTTTGTGCCTCTTAGCGGACCATGCTTGCCTGGGGCTGGAGCTCTCAGAGAGACATTACTAATATGCCCTCGTCGTGGTATGGCTAATGTGCCCGGAGTGCCAACAAGTAGCTGGGAGCAGGGCCAGTCCTGAGATAGTCTTTGCCTTGTTCCAGTTCCTTCCCTGTGAGTTCCAGCCACATACTCCTGTTCAGGGGCCAGGATGGCAGCTTGGTAATGTCTTTGGTAATAATAGACTCTTACCAATGTCCCTTACTTGCTCCTGTGGGTGAGCAGGACAATCTCCTTGTTTCCTGCAGCTTGGGGGACTGACAAAGAGGATGTTATGGCTCAGATAATCCTTTCACTCACCTACACAAGCTCTCCACTCTTGACTCACCTTCCTGTTCTCTGGCACCCTTACACACTCCTCAAACCCTGCAGGGTGCGGACAGCAGTATCTGATGGCAATAAGAAGGGAATGGATGAGTTACTGAATCTGAAACTAAAGGAAAGGATATCTAGTTCTTATTGTGGATAGTCCTCCATCATTTGTCAAAAATGCTTACTGTGGTTTAGGGGCACCTGGGTGGCTCGGTTGCTTGGGCGTCCGGCTTCAGCTGGGGTTGTGATCTCGCAGTTCGTGGATTTGGACCCCACGTCGGGCTCTGTGCTGACAGCTCGAAGCCTGGAGCCTGCTTTGGATTCTGTGTTTCCCTCTCTCTATGCCCCTCCCCTGCTAGCGCTTTGTCTCTCTCTATCTCTCAAGGATAAATAAACATTAAAAAAAAATGCTTGCTGTGGTTTAGTATCATGCGCTTATAGGACAGGAGATGGCCTTTTTGTTCATCAAATGCCAGTTCTTACTGCTAGCGAGTGTCACTGATCACCCACAGGACTTTCTGGGTAGCCAGTAAGCTGTACTGGCCGTTTTAGATATGGCAACAGCATCCTCCCTGTTTTTTTCTAAGGGACCCGGAGACCCAAAGGCTGGAGGAAGCCTATGTGAAGTGCCATGAGAATAAGCCATTAGGCAACAGAACTCCAAAATCCAACCACACACATACAAGTGTTATTCTCACTGCCCTCCTCCCCACTTTTGTCTTACTAAACAGAAAGTGGCATCATTTTTTATGATAATTATTGTGAAATTTCTTGATAGAATCAAGACCCAGACCCTTGATTAATGGGGTAGGAGTTGGGATATTAGGGGACATAGAGATTATCCAACCTTTTAAAGAATCAATTTCAGGGTGCCTGGGTGACTCAGTCAGGTAAGCGTCAGACTCTTGGTTTTGGCTCGGTCATGATCTCAGTTGGTGAGTTCAAGCCCCACATCGGGCTCTGCACTGACAGCTAGCTGCAGAGCCTGCTTGGGATTCTCTGTCTCCCTCTCTCTCTGCCCACCACCCCCACGCTGTCTCTCTATCTCTCTCTCTCTCAGAAATAAACATTAAAAAAAAAAATAAAGATTCAAGTTCATATTAGGCCTTTTTATTAAGATGCTGAGTATTGTAGTGAAAACAACATAGGCTTTGAGACAGAGTCAATCCTAAGATATTACTACTTCTCTGAACCTCAGTTCTTTCAGCTGTGAAATGTGGGTCATAATATCTACTCTGAAGGGTGGCTGTAAGAATTAAAAATTGTGCATATAAGAGAACCTGGGTGGCTCAGTCAGTTGAGCATCTGACTTTTGATTTCCATTAAGGTCATGATCTCACAGTTTGTGAGTTTGAGCCCCACATTGGGCTCTGCGCTGACAGTGTGGAACCTGCTTGAGATACTCTCTCTCTCTCTTTCTCAGCCCCTCCCCTGCTTGTGTGCTCTGTTTCTCTCTCCCAAAATAAATAAACTTTAAAAATTCTGCATATAAAAAGTGCCTGGCCAGATTAAGTAGGTTTGGTAAGTGGAGCACTGATTATTATATGTGCATGAGATATTGCCTACAATGGACAGACACCAATGGTCACTACAAATGAGAACAAAACATAGGGGTCAAGATTGGAGTCCTTAAAAACCACCAATGAGTATAGCAAACACGTTTGACTTGTAAATCCTTAATATCCTATGTGTGTATATGTGTTTGTGTGTGCATGTGTATGTATATGGGTATCTGTGTATATATGACTTTACTCAGTGAAGTTATTGTAAGCATCATGATAACATATGTTGAATAATTTGAGGTTGACAAGGATGGATGTATGGGTTGAGTAAAGTGTCATAAAAAAATGAAAGAAGCTATTATTATTTCAAATATGTCAGATGCTGACATTTCACTAAAAAGAACTGCAATTAAATATCTTCTAGCTGGGGCGCCTGGGTGGCTCAGTCGGTTAAGCGTCCGACTTCAGCTCAGGTCATGATCTCCTGGTTGATGAGTTTGAGCCCCGTGTCAGGCTCTGTGCCGACAGCTCAGAGCCTGGACCCTGCTTCAGATTCTGTGTCTTCCTCTCTCTCTGCCCCTCCCCGACTCATGCTTTGTCTCTCTCTCTCTCTCTCTCTCTCTCTCTCTCTCTCAAAAATAAATAAACACTGGGGGGCCTGGGGGGCTCAGTCAGTTAAGTGTCTGACTCTTGGTTTGGGCTCAGGTCGTGATGTCATGAGTTCGAGCCCCATATTGGGCTCCATGCTGACAGCACGGAGACTGCCTGGGATTCTCTCTCTCCGTCTCTCTCTCTCTGCCCCTCCTCTGCTCTATCTCTCAAAATAAATTAAACAAACAAATAAATAAATAAATAAATAAATTCTTTCAGCCAACACAGTCAAAAGATAGAGACAAGCAAAGTGACCATGTACCCCAAAAGATTTTGTTTCATTGAAAAGACAATGTTCTGGAAGGGTTTGGCCAAGAAAGTTCTAGCCTTGATATAAATGATCAAAAGTAAGGGCTTCAGTCTCTTCAAGGCAGGACTGATGGATGGTTCATACTGGCCAGAAGAATGGTCTTTAAAGGAGACTACTGTCAGCTGAACAAGGAGGCGGCCCTGCTCTCAAATGGTCAACCAGTGATGGCAGCAAATATATATGAGCGTGACCTAAAAGCAGGAAAGGGAGGAGCAGATTGAAGAAGCAGTTAAATCATTAGTCTCCCAAAGTCATTTGGGGGGGGGGGTATGTGTGCAGAAATAAAAAAATATATATGGTAATGACAAAAGTGAGGTGGCCTCAGGCAGCCTAGTCATGCAAGCTGAGGACAATTTTTGGCTGCTCTGGTATCTGGAAGTAACAAGTCACTCATCTATTCATTTAATAAACACTTGTTAAGTGTTGACTATGTGCCAGGCACAGCACTCTGCTAGAGATACATTGATAAATAGGACAGGTACTGCCCCTACCCTCAAAGGATTTACAGTTGAATGGGACAGAGATGGATAGAGACACAATTCCACCTCAAAGAGCTCCAGTAGAACAAATCAGTTCAAATAAGAAATAGCTTGTAGGATTATGTTCATTCTGCTATGGTGGCACTGAGAAAGGGTCAGATAACTGGGAAAGTCTTGAAAGGCTTCACAGCAGGTAATACAAGAAGCAGAACTGAAGTACAGCTAGGTGACTGCCAAGTAGACAAGAGGAGACAGGAGCAGCAGAGTGCACAGGCACTAGTGTGTGCTCAACAAGGAAGCACAAAAAAGCAAGATAGATATATTTAAGTGGTGCATGTGAAATCCATGTAGCTGGAGGGTGGCATGTCCAAAGTGTGGAGCTGCAGAAGTTAGGACTGTTATACCTGGTTGTAAGATACTGACGAGCCTTGAAAGTCCATGTTAAGGGCTTGGGATTTTAGCCTTTGGACAGGATATGATGAGGAGGTTTTTAAGGAGGGTTGAGACATGATCGGATTTATGTCCTTAGAGGAGAAATGGCCACTTGAAAGCTCTTTGTGAGATTTCTCGTTCTGGATCAAGATGGAATAGACTCAATTCTCCCTACTCTCACTAAATGCTGAAAACCCTGGGCATTATATATATATATAGCAACATATACATGACTCTGGATGAGCTAGGAAAAGATCTGAGGAGAGACACAGCAGTGATTTGTCTGTGTTTGCTTTTTGCTTCATCTATCTGAACTGGATGTTGGAGAAGCCAGCCATCTGGAAGAGCCAACAGCACAAAGAAAAAGAAAAAAAGAAAAGCCAGCTATATCTAGTTAAAGGATCCAGATGGGGGTAGTCTAGCAATAGCCACCCTACTCCCACCAAACACCACAGAAAACATCGCAGCCCCTTCCCACTCCTACCAGCAAAGGCAAAGCAGGGAGCCTCAACATCCATTTGGGCCTGGCTGTAACGAGGTATCCCCCCAGCCCCACAGTCAGGGTGGTGTAAGGAAACTACGAATGGGAGGCCAGAACTTTCACCAGCTTCCAGTGGTAATGAGCACCTAGCCCCTAACACCATGGTGTTAGTGGAGGACATGTGGGGATCAGTAAGGAGGCACCCTCCCGATCCCAGGCAGGGTGATGTCAGCAGAGAGCCAGAACTCCCACTAACCAAGCAGTAATGAGGTGTCCTTCCCCAACCCCCACCAAAGGGTATCAATGGAGGCCAAGAAGAAAGCTGGGTTTCAACCACCCACCTGACAAAAAGTATTAAAACCAGAACCCAACTGCATGCTATCCCTTTCTTAAAAAACTAAACATTCACTTACCATACAGTCCATTAGTGATACTCTGGGCATTTATCTCAGATAAGTGAAATCTTCTGTCCACACAAACCTGTACACAAATGTCACAGCAGCCTTATCTGTAATGGCAAAATACTAGAAACAACCAAAATGTCCCTCAATGAATGAGGGGTTAAACAAACTGTGGTCCCCATACCACGGGACACAATTCAACAATAAAGGGAACAAGCTATTGGTACACACAGCAACTTGGATGGATCTTGGTGTCATTAAGCTGAAAGAAAAAAAATTAATCTCAAATGACCACTTGCTATATGATTCCACTTATCTAATGTTCTCGAAATGACAAAATTATGGAGATGGAAATGGATTAGTGGTAGCCGGGGGTTAGAGATGGTGGTAAACGGGAGGGGTGTGCGAGTGTGACTACAGGGGTAGTAAGAGGAGATCTTTGTGGTGATGGAATAATTTTGCATCTTGACTGTGGTGGTATTGACACAAATCTACACAGGTGGAAATGGCACACATAAAACTATACATACATATTGTACCAATGTCAACTTTCTGGTTTTGATATTATACTATAGTTACATAAAATATAACCATTGGGGGAAACCAGGTGAAGCCTACATAGAACCTATCTGAACTACTTTTACAACTTCCTGTATATCTGTAATTATTTTTTAAAAGTTTTGTAACCAGACAAGTGTTGGGGGGTCGGAGGGGGAGGCAGCTGTTCATCAACTTTTAAGTTCCTTCCAGTAGTTCTCAGCTTGCTAATTCTAGAAACAAGAGATGGAAAAAAAAATAAGAAATTTACCTTTTAAATATAAATTTCCTCTTTTGAGAATATGCTATAAGTAGCAGGATGAGCTGTCCATATGATTCAAGTTAACATCAAGCAAGATTTCAGTACTGTTCCTTAGATTCCAAGTTCTTAGTTCTTTTTTTTTTTTTTTTTTAATATTTTTAACGTTTACTTATTTTTGAGAGAGAGAGTGTGTGAATGGGGGAGTGGCAGAGAGAGAGGGAGACACAGAATCGGAAGCAGGCTCCAGGCTCCAAGCTGTCCACACAGAGTCCGACACTGGGCTCGAACTCACCAACCGTGAGATCATGACCTCAGCCAAAGTTGGACACTTAAACCGACTGAGCCATCCAGGTACGACCCCAGTTCCTAGTTCTTATCTGACACCTTCCTCTGCACCACTGGATGGCTAGGAGATAATCTCCTCAGACGAGGAAATTTAAGCTTATGGAGAACTGGCATGCCTGATTTACACAGTGATGGTGGTGGAAAGATGAGACAGCATCTCTCCCTGAGGACTTCTCCATATGTAAAATCAAACTCCCTCTTAGCACCTGGGATAAGTGTGGAACTGCCTCCCCACCTTACACTGCTGTTCTCTTGGGTCTACAAGTGGGAACACATTTTAATGCTGTGAGGCAAGAGGAATGAAACAGGGAGAACAGGTTGGACAAATAAAAATTGGAAATTTGGTTTCGAAATCAGAAGCATGTGACTTCAAAGAACCATACTTTTCACAGGCAAGGAGTGGAAGGTCTTCAAGGGAAGAGTTTTACTAGCAAGTTTTTAAAAGGTCTGAATAAACAAACCAGTGCCACCCAATAAAATCTGAAGATATTCCTGCCACCCCTAGATGTCTATGGCAACCAAGGTCTGGAAAAACTCTCTTATATCTCCTTTGGCCCAGCAATCTTTTCACCCTAGAATTTCTCCACAAAACCCTTGAGTACGGCCCTCAGATCCTTGGCTCCTAGTATAATAGTGGCATGCCTTGTAAAATACATGAAGGACTGGCTGCAAGATGCAGGAATCAAGTCCAAGACTGAAATTCCTGGGACAAAGAGTCCTAATCCTAGACCTACCTTCTGAGAGGCTCTTATTCTCTGTCCCAAGTCTTCCCATCTTAGAATCAATGTCATCTAGATATTCACCGTATGTCAAAATGGGCTCTAATAATTTCTATTTACTGATCGCTGTTTCTAAACCTGGTTTACCCCTTCCTACCAATGAACTTGGGACAGGTTCTTCCAAGTTTATAATGACAGAGTTTCAGTCAGAGAGAGGGGAACATTCCCAGGCCTCTCGAGAATAAAAAAACAAATAAAACACAAAAAACAGAAAATTCATCGGTTTCTTTCAAGTCTTTGTGTGTTGCCTTATCAAGTCCTTCAAGTCTTATCAAGTCCCTGTCTATTTATTGCACCAAATGAAGACACACACACACACCTCAAATTAAAAAAATCCAGTCAGGTTGAAAACAGATGAACTAAACAGTTCAGGTAACCTACGACCCAGCAATTGCACTACTAGGCATTTATCCACGGGATACAGGTGTGCTGTTTCGAAGGGACACATGCACCCCCGTGTTTATAGCAGCACTATCAACAACAGCCAAAGTATGGAAAGAGCCCAAATGTCCATCGATGGATGAATGGATAAAGAAGATGTGGTTGATATATACAATGGAGTATTACTCAGCAATCAAAAAGAATGAAATCTTGCCATTTGCAACTACATGGATGGAACTGGAGGGTATGATGCTAAGTGAAATTAGTCAGTCAGAGAAAGAGAAGTATCATATGACTTCAATCACATGAGGACTTTAAGAGACAAAACAGATGAACATAAGGGAAGGGAAACAAAAATAATATAAAAACAGGGAGGGGGACAAAACAGAAGAGACTCATAAATATGGAGAACAAACAGAGGGTTGCTGGAGGGATTGTGGGAGGGGGGATGGGCTAAATGGATAAGGGGCACTAAGGAATCTACTCCTGAAATCATTGTTGCACTATACGCTAACTAATTTGGATGTAAAATTTAAAAAATAAAAAATTAAATTAAAAAAATAAAAATAAATAAACAGTTCAGGTAATTAACAGGTATTTTAAAAGTCAAATATGACAGCATGTTTGGAGATTCTACCCAAATGTTGACAGGAGATCACCAAAATCCTACAGGAGAAAACAGGCAGCAACCTCTTTGACCTTGATCGCAGCAACTTCTCACTTGACATCTCTCTGGAGACAAGGGAAACAAAAGCAAAAATGAACTATTGGGACCTCCTCAAAATAAAAAGCTTTTGCACAGTGAAGAAAACAACCAACAGAACTAACAGGCAACTTATAGAATGGGAAAAGATATTTGCAAATGAGATACCTGAAGACTCCCTGACTCTGAACCCTCAAGGACAGAGCTGTATGACAGTCAAGTTTGATGTGTAGATATAAAGTACTGATGAATGACAGAAAAAGATGGGTTGGTCAGCTCTATGGCAATTGCTTTGAACTCCTTACAAAAAACACAGTGCCCACCTAGGAAAGCAGGTTAAGGCACCTCCTTCCTCTAGCTGAACCATAACCCAATCTTGATAAGGTGATTAAGATCCTGTTGGATGAGGGTTACCTCAAGTTTTGAGCAGGAGGAATTAAAATGTACGTAGGCATCATCTCATTTCTGGTTAAGCAATAAAGAAGATATGCTAATTTTCAATTTACATAACACACCCATCCATCTGGCAATGAGGCAAACCCTCTTTCCTTGATTCTCTGCCTTAAAAAAAAAATCTGGCTTTAGTGGTAAAAAAGCTCAGTGTAAGAAGGAACAATAAATAAAATAACTAAATGCAAATCAAACATAAATGTCATAACATTTAGAAAACTTTTTCTCTTAGGCATTAAAAGGTCAAATTGGATGTCCCTATGTTCTTTTACAATCGCCAATTCATTCTTTTTGTCATTTCTACCCTGATGTTCTCCATGGTCTTTCATCCCTGATCTTCTGAATTTTTATATGCCTGGGAATTCATCAGATTATTAAAACCAGGTGACTGGGTGCCTATCTGATGATTCAGGGTGTGAGCTGTATTAGAGAACTCCCACCTGCTGGAATGAACCTATTTCTATTTAATCACCCCTTCTTATAGAAAGGCCACAAAATGCTGCAGCCTCTAGGTTCCAATAATAACAGATAATAACAACTAGGTCAGAAGTCCCACAACTAAGGGATACTACTTTCATACCTAAACCTTCTATTATTTATGGGGAGGGGGAGCAGAGAGAGCGAGGAGGACACTTATAATGCTAACGAGGTTATTTCAGGACCAACGTTTTTAAACTCAATTGTTTTTAAGAAAATTCAAACATACACAAAAACAGACTGAATAACACGAGACCCTGACATACCCATGGTCTAGATTCGTTATCATCAAACTTTTGCCACACTTACTTTATCTCTGTTGTCTCATTTTGTTGAATTAAAGTAAATCTCAAGCATAATTTCATTTCTTCCCGATATACTTCAGTATCCATATCTGCATAGATATTTTCATATAATACTTCATCATATCTACCAAACTTAAGACTCTTCAAATTCTCTTGCCTGCTTCAAAGACAGATTGCTTTTTTTCACATCAGGATCCAAACAAAGTCCATACATTATATTTGGTGGTTGTTATCTCTAGAAGTCTGTCTTAATCTAGAACCATCTCCCCGTTTTTTAAATTCAAGCCATTAACTTGTTGAAGAAATTGTCAGTTTACTTTAGAATGACTCATCCTTTGGATTTCTGCTTTCTCATAGTATAATTTGTTTCCCTCTATTTCCTGTAAATAGAATCCTCACCACCCTTCTCTTTACATATTGTCTTCATCTAAACCATCTAAACAGAGAACAATTTGAGTGGCTATTTTCTCAATTCTTCCCAGGATGGTGCGTGGTGCCATTCTAAGTGAATAGGAGAGAGGTTACTTTATTATATACAGTAGATTCCATAGGACAGTAGGACTCAATTTCCTCCCAGAACCCAGATGAGAAAAGCTCACAGGCTTGATCATATTCAGTTTCAACTTTTGCGGGGCACAAATACTTCACAGAAGGCACTGTATGTTTTGTATTGCATCATACCAAGAGGCACAATGTCTGCTTCTCTTACTCTTAGAGATGTGAGGATGAATTAGTGGGTTCAGATGATGGAAATGTCTAACAGTTTCATCCACTAATGACTGCTGTAGATATCTGGTGGGGGGATAGGCAGTTGCAAAGAACCTAAGCCAAGAATTGAGTGAAAATTTCTACCAAGGGTGATCTATCTCATCGTGGGGCCCAAAAAGGGTGACAACTTATATGGTACAATACCAAACGGCCTTACTCAAAAGGAATCCATTTGACTTCTCCTTGGCATACCCCTCTAATAGTGGTCAGTGAGAGCAAGACCAGACATGGACTATTCATTTCCACCTTAAAACAGCTTTAAAACTTTGGGGCGCCTGGGTGGCTCAGTTGGTTAAGTGTCCAACTTTGGCTCAGGTCATGATCTCACGGTCTGTGAGTTCAAGCCTGCGTCTGGCTCTGTGCTCAGAGCCTGGAGCCTGCTTTGGATTCTGTGTCTCTCACTCTCTCTGCCCCTCCCCCCACTGGCATTCTGTCTCTCTCTCAAAAATAAATACACATAATTAAAAAAACCCATAATAAATAAATACATAAATACATAAATAAATAAATAAAAATCTAAGTCAACATATTCAATGTTGTTTGCCTGTCAGAATGGGCCTAGCATGCCAGGAGAGCATTTCCTTTATCTTCCTCAATAATATTTCCAATCTCCCAAATCTTTTTTTCAGAGAAGCATGGAGAAATGCCCCACCAAGATGGGACACAAAACAAATTATGTTCACTACACCTAGTGGGAAATGAAAAGAAATATTTTGCCTCCAAAATCATAACCTAAGTAAACATGGTAAAGTAATACCAGATACCTCCTTTATCACACTTTAAGTGGTTAGAAGAGATGAAAGCAGCAGTTTCTAGCCTCTGCGCCCAGTGAGTGGTCCATAAAGTTGCTGCCAATCTCATTCCTGCTATCAAAAAAGGGCTAACTAGGTAAGGGCGAGGCCTAGACAATTAAGTTATGTACTAAAGCAATATACTACAACCGTGCAAGAGGGAGAACAGAGTTTACTAAAACCAAAGCAACTGGAGCAAGCTGTTTTGGTTAGACCGCCTAGGAAAATGTATCATGCACCAGTTTTTCACTGCCGGAAAACTAGTACATGACTATCCTCCACTACTACCATATTCCTGAAGTGGCCTCCATCATATATGTGTTCCCTCGCTTGGCCTGGATGCTGTGAACCAATAAAGTTCCTGTCTTGGGAGCAGCACAGCGGGATTGTGCTCCTCTTGCTGCACCTATACCCGTACTTTCTTGCTCTTCTTCCACCTGCTCTGCCCTCCTAGTCCACTGGGACCTATCGAATCTGCATCTGCTCTGACAAGGTCGGTGGTGGAGTCGGAGTGGAGGAGAACAAACCTGCCCTACCCTCGCCTCACTGTCCACGAGTAAAACCTACACTAGTGCAAACTCAGCATGAAGAGCAAATGAAATGGACACCTTGAGAGTGAGGCCAAAAGTATAAAACATAATAAGTCCATACAATGTTAGCGCTACAGGGGAGATTAAAGGTCACTTAGTATAACTCTCTTATTTTATAAAAGAGAATACTATAGTCCAGAGAAATTAATTATTTGTCCCGAATTACAGTAGCAATGAGAAAATAAAATACAAAATAAAATGATGTCCAAAGACCTTTTGGGTAAAGATCAAAAACATTAGGTAAAACTACTAATCACATAGAAATACTTGGAATTTTTAAAGGACAAAAATGTTCATTCATTTTACAAACATTTACTGAGAGCCCATTATGTGACAGGCATAGTCTTAAGAACCGGGGATGAACCATTGAATAAGCAAAAATCCCTGTCTTTGTGGAGTATACAATCCAGCAGGGAGAGAGAGAAAATAAACATTAAGTAAAATATATAGTATGTCATGCAGAAAGAAGTATTATGAAGAAAGGTAAAGCAGAGAAAGGGGATAAGGAATACCTGGGTGTGGAGGTGGTCAGGAGGGTTGATTTTAAAATAAGATGGTCAAGGGTGCCTAAGTGGCTCAGTTGGTTAAGCATCCAACTCTTGATTATAGCTCAGGTCATGATCTCACGGTTCGTGAGTTCGAGCCCTGAGTCCAGCTCCACACGGACAGTGCAGAGCCTGCTTGAGAGTCTTTCTCTCTCTCTCTCTCTCTCTCTCTCTCTCAAGAACAAATAAATAAACATTTAAAAAAAAAATAAAAAATAAGATGGCCAAGGGTCCAGAAGGCCCTTTAAGAGGATACATTTGAATAAAGACTTAAAGGAGGTAAGGAAGTTAGCCAAATATTACCTGAGGGAGAAGTGTCTCCATGCAGAGCAAACAGCAAATTAAAAAGCCCTAAAGCAAAAGTGCCCCTAGACTGTCCTAAGGAATACAAAGATGAGCAGAATGTGCAAAAACAAAGAGCAGTTGGAGATAAAGACTCAAAAGGGATTAGGACCAGATTTTTTACGGCCTTGTATGACATAATAAGGACTGTGGCTGAAATTTCCTGAATAGCCAAAGGGAACTGTGAGCAGAGGAGTGACACAATCTTACTTTTTCTGAAAGCACTGCTCTGGTTGTGGTACTAAGAACGGTCTGGAAGGGGCAAATATAGAAACAAGATAACCAACTAGGAGACGGTCACAATAATTCAGGAATGATGATGACTCAGATCAGGGATGCAGTGGGGCAGATACTGAGAAGTAGTTGTATACTGCATACATTTTCAAGGTAGAGCCAACAAGAAGTTGCATAAGAAATACACAAGTAGGGGCGCCTGGGTGGCGCAGTCGGTTAAGCGTCCGACTTCAACCAGGTCACGATCTCACGGTCCGTGAGTTCGAGCCCCGCGTCGGGCTCTGGGCTGATGGCTCAGAGCCTGGAGCCTGTTTCCGATTCTGTGTCTCCCTCTCTCTCTGCCCCTCGCCCGTTCATGCTCTGTCTCTCTCTGTCCCAAAAATGGATAAACGTTGAAAAAAAAAAAAAAAAAAGAAATACACAAGTAAAGGTTGACTCTCTTCTTCTTCTTCTTCTTCTTCTTCTTCTTCTTCTTCTTCTTTTCTTGGCTAAAAAGATGGAGCCGTCATTTGCTGAGATGGAGAAGA